CAGATAGATATGTATATTTAGATTAAAAATCTATATTTGTTTACTTAATTAGAGTGAATTGTTTTCTTTAGAAATGCTGAATATATATGCTTCTCAATTAGTATAGGCTGACCTATAGTGGACACCTGGAGTTGACGTGCAATCTGGAAAAAAAAAAGCCTCTTTTTTTTAGCTCCTCTAATATTGCATCACAGCTAACTGCAATTTAAAAAATGGACTCTGAAGTCCGTAATTCAGAAGCTCTGGGTGAATTTCTTGAAAACATTAAGGACATTTTAGGCCCATGTCCAGGGAGAATGCAGCCAGATGATTTAAAGAAGCAGCAATAAAAAAGGCTCTGTCATTCATCATGTCCTTCAGGAGCTAGCAGTCATCTCCTAATTTTGAGAAATAAGCTTAATGTATAAAACACTTTTCTAGTTAGAGTGGCCTCAGCCATGAGACTGAGTTTTGGTCACTAAGCACTGGTTAATTTTAAATTGGTATCTCAAAACGAGTGCTAAATTCCTGCCTCAGCTGGGAATGCATGCTTGGTGTACCTTCTGCCATTCTAAAAATATTCTTCTATCAGAGTGAAACTCTTTCCTATAAATTTAATCCAAGAGGATCTTATTGTTTTACAGATAGCAAAGGGAGATCCATTTAGTTTCACTGGAGATTAATTCAGTAGATTTTTGTCATCTATGAAGGAGCTTTATACACTTAGGCATCCTGATTGTATTTTCTTTTTTTGTTTTCCTCTATGCTAGGCCATGTATTTTAGAGCCATTTCTTGTGCATGTAAACATGCAATGGGATGAGACCTTCAGCTTGCTTTTCTTCAGGAGATTGGCACAAGGCAATTAACTGTACATCCAAGCTTTATACTGCTCCTCCAGCAGTATATTTTAGTGGCTTTTGTATTAGCTCTGTCTTAGACACCTAATATTTCATTCTAGCTGCTTCTTAGATACAGAAAGTTATATATACACACATATATATAACTGGGAAAAAAACCCAGGAAATCAGTATCCTGTCAGTCAAAAACTGATCCAAGGCAATTCATGCTGTTTTCATACGCAACCTCTATTTTCTGCTTCTGGTTCTGTGTTTTAAAAGTGCTTATCAATGCCAGCTATATAGAATCTTTGGTGGTGTTTGTTTCAAGGAAGATTTCATTGGTTATCTGTAATTACACTCTGAAAAAAAACCCCACATTGTGGCTTGCCCACCTATGTTTCAAAAATAAGGTTAGTCAGTATCTCCATATGAGAAACTAACTTTGGCTCTTTTTAGGAAGGTTTTTCATAGTCAGTGCCTAGAATGTATTTACATTCTACAGCAGTGTTGTGAGAGGTTTCTTTTTCATTTATAATTTTAACATGAGGTTATAGTTTACAGTTATCAGGATTCATATATTGTCATAGTAATGTCTTTTGTATGTGATCTCAAAACATTTTAATTTTACTGATATTTAATGTTTATATATATATATATCAGTGGAAATTGCATGGTTTTGGCCGAAATCAGTTTTAGAAAGGTATATTCTTGCACATTATTATCCAGCATGAAGTACTGTGGCAGCACCAAATCTCATGAGGCCCCTGTAGCAAGGAAAAATGTGATTAATAGCTAAGCAAGGCAGCACCAAAACCAAAGAGTAATAGGTGACCCTGAAGGCATTCAGTTTACTGGGAAATCAGAATTATCAGACACAATGACCACACAAATAAAGAAACAGAAACTTCATCTGTGTGTAATGTTGACTTTAAGAAGATGATGGGAAAAATAAAGCTATAGGACTTTTTAATTATTGTGTTATCACTGGGGAAGACAAGAAAAAAAGAGTTGCTTTGAGTAAAGCCTGAATTGCAAAGTCTGACAGGCCAGTGATGTTGATTGCGAACAGTACAGAAATGTAGAAATGTTCACTTAATTTTACCTTATTCTCAACTTAAACCGGAAAGGAGAATCTGTGTAGGTAAGAACTCTGTAATTTTACCTTGGGGGCATTAAGGATTCCCTGACTGAGACAGTGCTGTTCATACTGAGTGATTCTAGAAAGCACTTGCAGGTACAAGTCAATGCCATTTTTGCAAATTCATGGCAGGTGAATGAGCAGGGAAAGAATTAAAACAATGAGAACCACTGATACTGAGCTGCTTTAGTAACATCAGTTGGGAACCCACGGAGACACATGGAGACAATCTTGATTTACATCGCAGGCACCGTGGTCCACTCTCACCCTGAACCACAAAAAGAGAGGGGAAAGAAAATGCCCTAAGTGATAAACTGGCAGGATGTTCCTGTGCTGTGAGGAAAGGAGTGAGGTGCAGGATAGTTGTAGTGAAGAGGGTCATAAGAAAGGGAATATTTTACAGTGAACTACTGACAAATTCTTAAAGTTCTCAGGTTATACATGCCATAGGGAAAAGGCTGCCAGAAGTGTAGGAACTGTCTCTGCAACTGTGTTTGTAGATAAAAGTCTTATTTTCCAACTGCCTTACTACCCATGTTAGCTTCAATCCAAAACTAAGCTTGTTGATGAGAGGCAATATTAAAATGAAAGAGCATCGCTGTATATTGGTGATGTGCAGTGGTAGCAGTTTGGAAATCAGTTTGTCAGCAAGCAGATAAAGGCCATTGATGAATTCACACAAGCAAAGCAGAACATGTTTGGTGTTACCTGTTCTCACACAGTGAATGGTTCACCTTATTAGAACATAAGACTATCTTCAATAAGAGAAGGGAAGGGAAAATTGATTGTCAGGAGCGCTTGTGCATGAGAGCCTATGAGCAGGCTGGCATCTTTGAAGCTATGAATTTGGGCAACTCTAGGCAATACAAAAGAAGGGAAGGGTTTAGCAGGCAGAAGTTGTTGCTTAAGAGGACTATAGAGATATAATTACTGATTGCAGGAAAGAAAAGCAGACGTCCCACAGAGAGTGGGATTTACATTTGCATGAGATTTGATGTATTTCTTCACCTGCAGCTGTTTTGAAGAGAATTGTTAAATGACATGTCTAGTTTGAAGCAAGGAGTACTTAGCAGATAGGTTTTTTTCATGATCTACAATCTCTGCATAAAAGTAGCAATTCCAACTGAAGCAGGATAATTCTCTTGGAAGTAAAATAGGTTAAGTCAGGTGAATCTTTCTTCTTTCTGCATAATTAGTTACTCTTTGAATAAGGATGTATGTGGGACCAATAACCACCAGTTTCAGGAGCTGTGTTAGAAACTGAACTGACCATGTAATTTTGGTTGAAATAGGGACTCTTGATAATGCTTTATCCTTTTATGCATAAATAATAAAAATAAATAAAATTCCTAAGTGGAGGAAGTGACATAACTGAAAAGACCAGAAACTACAAGATCAGTAATTGTGTGCTGATAGGAGTTCAGCAAACAAAATAGCCTTTAAAACTGGAGATAACACTGAAAATGTTTCCTCAAAGGAAATTGAGTTGCTTCAAAAGTCAATCTTGTGTACAGTAAAGTAGTGTCCTGCTAGATTAGGCATATCCTCTTGGAGACACAGAGGTGGGCATGCTTAAGCATCACTTGCCACCCTTGCACAAATCAAAAAGGGAAACAGGCAACAGCTGCTGATGTGGCAGTCCTACACAGAGTGAGGCAACAGCAAGGTAAGAGGAGCAGGGAAGAAATGCAAATACAGGAGGCTAGAAAGAATTTATCTCACCCAGAGCATTCCTGGAATACAAGCAATATTCTCTGAAATTCAAAGGCACCAAGGCCTATTGTCATTACAGCTCATGTTTGGTATTTTTATTCTTTTTCTTCTTCCCCCTGTTTTCGCTCCCCCATTGCAGAAGAGCACAATTTATGTCTTGAAAATGAATTATCCTGTGGTGGCATACTCATGCCTGTTCAGTTATTCCACTTAGAATTTCAGCCATCAGCATGAGCACATTTTCAGAGCTATCAATATTCAAATCTCTACTCTGGCAGGCTTTCTGCAGTTGAGTGGCTCTGTCAGAGCTTATGCAGGACTGAATAGGATCCACCCTAAGGTGAACTGAGGTTCTCACAGAGACAATGCATAATGAAGGATGACTATTGGTGAATATATCACTCCTACACTTTAATTTGGAGAGCTGGCAGGAACGCGCTGGGAGCAGGCTTCTTCCTGACAGGTTTCACAATCAGCCTCTCTAGGCTGATCACACAAAAGCAAGGGATGTCCCTTAGGGCCTGCCTGCTGGTCTAGAACCAAAAGCTGGCTTGCCAGTCTTTCAAATAAGGTATTCTGTCTATTTTCCACAACAGGGATGTATGAAACATTTGTATTTGCACAAGTCATATACTGAAGTTCAGAGACTGCTCTGACTTTCAGCTTTCAGTGTATTTGCACAAAGGCTGCCTTAGGTAGGGCTTTATGTATGTTTATACAGAGCTGAAAATAAAATCTTAATACAGACATATGAGTAGAATATATGTCTATATTATATTTTCCATTTCATATAACATCCACTTTTACATACTGAGAGTAGGACATTTCTACAGAGTTTTGTCAAGCCGCTTCCAAGTGTAATGTAACAATACTGCATCTTTCAGAAAAGCGTGGAACAAGATAAATTCCACTGTAAAGGGAACCTCTTCTACAGGGACTCCTAATTTTTGACAGAGGATTGTAAACCTTCTTCACTTTATTTTTCTTCATATTTTGTATTCCTTTTAAGCAAGGTTTCTGCAAAGGATAGAGCATATCATATTCTTCAATCATTGCTCTGTGCAGTAGAATGCTTTGTAACAGCCTACTCTCTGTGGATTTTTAGGTCAGAATCTTTAAGTCAAATACACATTAATATCAGGACAATGACAGCATGCCATTTCCTTAAACCATAATGTATCTTCCACTTGTATGAATGCATTTCTTCCTTCATTGTTTTTTGTGTTTGGTCTTTTCCTGGAAAAAAATACTCATCTTACATATTATAGTTTAAATTACTGGAATTACTAGATGGAAATTTCCTCCTGAAATATTTGGGGAAAAAATACTATTTTGACCTTTTGTTTAATTGGAGTGGATCTGTTTGAAGCAAAAATTCTCTTTGCCTGATTATACTATGTGATAAAATTATGGCTTTATGGTTAAGATGAAATGTGATAGCAAATGATAATTTTGATTTATGATTAGTTTTAAGAAACTCTGTGTGTCTGTTCAGTATTCTTTTTAACATGTTCACATTGATCAGAGTGAAGATTGCTATGGACAGATTAGGAACATGTAAAACTATTTAAGAAAATTATGGAAATTAGCATCTCCTCTACTAAAATGTATCTTTGTGGTACATTCTAAAATCTGCACAACTGAAAGGTTGAACAGCTTATAGTGTATACATTTCATTTAATATATGATCTGTGTACCTTTTACAGTGTGGTACAGCTCACTCTGAAATCTCACCCAAGTCTTACATCCTCAGAGACACAGCTACAAATGTTAAACTAATAGGGTAATAGCTTCAGTGTGAAAGGGAGATTTGGATATAGGCTAGAATTTACAAATGCATTAAAAAAAAAGCAGGGTTTTTTTTTTTTTAATTGCTTCTGCAACAGGAATATTTTCAGTTTCAGAGTAAAACTCTGCATGTAAATATCTTTCATGTTGCTTCACAAATACAACTTCGTATATCTGGCAACTTTTCTGCTCAGTGCTCAGGTTTAATATGCTATGCTTTAAAATGGATGTTGCCTGCTCACACAGTGTTCATATGAAAATGTGAGGGACACATCATGTGCAGTGGCACCAAAGAAGTGCCCTTTAAAACCTTCCCATCTTACTTTGCCAACATTTAGAAATTGTTCCACCCATACTGAGTACTTTACAGGAAAAGACAGACATAAGAGAAATGAAGATAAGCACTTTTTGCTTATACCTTTTTAACAGATTACTATAGTAGCTTCAAAATTAATTGTGCATAATTGTTACAGGAAGACTAATTATTGTGTTTATTGTTTAGATGAATTCTGGTTCTCAGATGGGTCCTTATCTGATAAAGCCAAATTCAATGATCCTGGCCTGATGCCCCTGCCAGACACTGCCACAGGGCTAGACTGGTCTCACCTGGTAGATGCTGCACGAGCGTTTGAAGGTAACAGGAAAATTTGAATAAAGATCAATGTTCACTACACAAACTTTATAAAAAAATTTTAATATATATGGTATAGCCACATTTTGAATTGCAAAAATCCAGTGTTTGCCTCTGTAGCCCTTTAGTTCTTTCAGCAGTATCAATTCTCAGTGTGGAAGATTGTCATTGAAAATTTGGGGTCCTTATGATACTCTCTGTTTCCATTTTATATGCAATTCCTCCACTTTAGTGCCTAAGTTTCTTCTGTAATCAATTGAAAAATCAGATATTTAAAGGAGAGATTCAAAACATTTAAGTTAGATGTTTAAAATGAAACTGGGAGTAACATTTCCCTGAGTTTGTTGTGTTGTGTTTATAAACTGGCATGTGTAGTCCAAATAGTGTTGTGGTCCCTCTCAGTTTTCATAAGCCCTTAAGACCAGGAGAAATGTACAGTATATTTAACAGCAACAGGATTTAGGGTGCAGGATGTAGACTAGATTTGCTTTATTAATTTATGTAACCACATTAACCAAGGAAAAAATCTCATCCACCTCTGGGAGTTAAACCTACACTTAATGTCTAAATAGAGAAAACAGATGTTGGTTTGAGTGTTTATATGGATATACAAAGTTGAGTGTTTGTGTTTTGTTGTTTGAGAGGTGTTTTTATAGTGCTGTCCTAAAATGTCTGACATTTATTAACTGGTATTGCTTGCATTACTGAATGTAATGTAATCTATGAATAAGTATGATGTTACCACAGTCATGGTTGTATAAGACAAAGGTCTTAACTTTGTGAAAACTGTCTGTGAAGTTAGTGGTTTGGGTCTTTTTTAACTTTTTTGAACCATGGAAATCAGTTTTCTGGTTCCTGATTCCTTCCCAAAGTGTGCAATGATTACAGTTCACTTTGACCAAAAGCTCTTCAGAACTGCTTGTTGCACCAATTCAGATGGCACTGTGAAAACCCAAACCAACAGCAATGATGAGGAATTTGAAGAACTCTATTATTTTTTGACCTGATGTGCATTCATTACTATTCAATACTACTCAAACATGGCTGTGGTAGCTGGCAGGAAATACTGTGACACTGAGAATCTTGACTGCTCTTCCCATGCATTCCTCTGTTGGATTGCTCAGGGAACACCCTGCTGTTTGTTACTGACATCTTAAACTACTGAAGAAAGGTTTGCATCAGTAAATGACTAGCTCTAACTTTGTACTTGAAGAATATTTTTAAATGCTAATAAAAATGCTGAGTTCAGCTGAGTGAAAGATCATTCTGTACCAGCTATGCTCCTGTATTTTTAGCTTTCTTTGAAAACTAATAGATTTTCATTCTTTTTACTTCCTAGTATCATGATTAAAATAATTTCACTTTGGTAAGTGTTATGTAAGTGTAATTACGTTTGAATTTGAGAATGAGAAGTAGAACAATACAGCTAACCCACAGTGCTCTGTCCTAGGGAGGGAGGGTATTCACTTGTTGGGTTTTAATTGTAAATAACTTAGATATATCTGTAGATAATGCTGGAGAACTGAGTTGTAAGATAGAAGAGTTGGTCTGAGTTGTAAGATAGAAGCTATTTATTAGATTTTTTTTTTTTAATTATTTTAAGAATTTGAGCAGTAAATAGTAATCTATTTTTGTATGCAGGAATAGAATTCTCTTCTGTTTAGGACTCTATAATAGAGACATCTGTGTATATGTTAGATGATTTATACAATGCTTCAACTAAATTCATAGTGCTGTAACTAGAAACTTTTGCAAGGAATGGAATTTTTAAACCCTTATTCAACTTCATCCTGTGTCTTGAATTTTGAAAGTCATTTAAAAAAGAATAACTGATAGGCATGTCCTAAAAGATCACTGGAATGTGTTGCATATGAATTAACAGTGCATTTTCCATGTGTATTTAATGTTGTTGACTTAGAAGCTGCTTCAGCTTCCTATTTGAAAATAGCTTGGAACTGCTGTTCTGCATTCCATCAATGTGAAAAAGAGAGTGGATGATTCTAAAGTTTGTCCACTTCTGAATATAAAACTGCTTTGATTTTTTTTTTTTAACTGTGTGAAAATGGGATCACATTTCATATATTGGACCATATTAAAAAACAAAAAAAAGTAAACAAACAGCTGCCTCCCCACTTTCAATGGAAAGAATCACTAAAAAGAATTTTTTAATACTGAATCTGTGAAATTAGAGGTTTTCTCTAGTTTGGCTTTGCCAGCCTGAGATTTTGAAGTTGTGTTCTCTTCTAGAACCTAGATACTGGACTTCATTTCAATTTTTTCTTTGTACTATGTCTTTTCTGACTATCAGTTTATCAGGATTACCAATCTGATTCCAAGGTCAGAGTTTTTCTCTTGTGATCTCTCCAGATTGTGTTGACAATTTATATAATTTGATCAGCTCAACATCCCTAATGTGGGCCTCATGATCTTTCATGTCTGTCTTAAGAAGCAATTGTATCTTGATTCATGTTAGATATAGACTTTTTAGGTGCTTATATTGTTGCCATCAGTTGGATTAACAATTAAATTTAGTGGCAAGATTTTTGCTGCCATCATCTGTACTTGGAGTTTCCTTATGGGTGTAACAAGAGCAGTAGTCTCATTTTTCACTTTCTTCCTCTCCTCAGATGAAGAGTGGACAAGGTTGTTGATTCGTATTAGTTTTTATTCAACTGAAGCCTTGGTCCTGTGTGGAACAGCAGCTTTTAAACTGTGCTCCACGAGGGTGGAAGAAGCTATTACTTTTGTTTTGTTTTTAATTGAAAGTATATAATGCTTTTCACTTTGTCAGGATTTCATTTTCACTGCATTTGCTTGACAAGAACCTTTGTGGGAAGCTGAATATTTACTTGAAGCTTTTTCTGAAAATCTTCTGTTATTCCTAAGACAGGTCTGTGCAGTGTGATGGAGAGCTGTGCATGCATTAACTCCACAAGCCCCTGAAGCTGCATCAGGGAAGGGTTTTTGCTTGAGCTGCCTCTGTGGAGGGTCAGTGCCCCTAAGCTGGAACACAGTGGAGCATTATTTTAACACTCTGCACTGCCTTCCTTTGCAAGACATAGTTTAGACACTGATATTTCTTCAGAGATGATGTTTTGCAGGCATGCTAACGTCGGTCCGGTCAGTAGCATGGGGAATCCTGCCATTTCTGCCACACATGGATAGGCTACTCCCAGTTTCCTTCTCTGATTTCACTGGGAAATGCAGAGAGACATAACCAGGGAGCAGTTCACATGATGGAAATACTCTGTTGTAATGTTTTGGATCCATCCCTGAAGCAAACAATAAAAAATAGATAGGATTGTGTTTGACTGTACGGCAAAAGAGGGAGGGCAGTTGGGGTGAAAAAGAAGTTAAAGAACCAAAAAGAAAGCAAGCATGCTCAACTAAGTAAAGGCAAAGATATGGGGATTTCTAGAATAAATTGGAAAGCCAGGTTTGAAAAAGGAGAAATCCCAGAAAAGACTAAGGGAAAAGAAGAGAACTAATATTTTTAGTTCTCTTTTTGTATTATCCTTCCAATAGATCTTCAAGTTAGGAAAGAAGGACTGGCCTTCAATGTGTGTATTATGTTGCTGATGATATTTTTAGAACATTTTAGATATTTTCCATGTTTTGGGGACAAAACAGAGAAGCATTTTTGAATGTCCATACCTACCACTGTAATTATAAAAGACAACTGACACAAATACAAATATCAAGTATTGTCTTTAATAGAACTTTGTACTATTTGTTCTATTTCAAATGGATTTGTTATGCTTTAAAAAAGCTGTTTAGTGTTTGATAAGTCATGCTGTGAGCATTAAAAGCCTAAGATAGTCCTTCTGATGTCCCTGTTCATTAAAATTGGTGGTTGCAACTCCTGATTTTTTTCCAGGTGATTTTTATGAATGTCTACTGGTGCCAATCAAAATGCAGTGTTTCTTAATGCAAATTTATCTTTGCAGAAACATCTGTGCTACTATAATTAATGTTATTTTAATACTTTGATTTAAAATCTTCATAGCTAAATGTAAAGCTACACATAATATAATGAGAAAGAAGTGAATCATTTAGCATGACAGATAATTATTTTAACCAAAGTAGTGTGCTAAACTGCTAGAAAAGGAAAAAAATGACAATATTTAGTTAACATTTGGTGATTTCTAGGGCATGCATTTGTAACTCTTCTTGCTTCAATGCATATGTCAGTGTATATTTGTGGGTAGACTTTACGTTAACAATGAAAGAGTGGCTTCATGCACTTTACTCATTTTAGCCTTTTCTGCTTCCAGTACACCAAAATTGCCTGGAGTTTTTTCTGGCCTCTGTTAGTGGTCTGGTACAATGAAAATCCACATTCAAACTCTTAGTGGTTACAGCTGTGTGACTCTTGTACTGTAAATTTAAACATTATTTTTTGTCTCGTCTTTGGTCTTGCCAAGTCAGTTGTTTAAACTTTCAATATAAAAACCAATATATTTTTTGCAAATAGTTTTCTGTGGTTGGACTCTCTTTGGAGTTTGGCAGGGACATCTCAGTTAAAAACAAGAACTCTGAGATTTACATGTAGTTTTTTCTGTTTAGTATGTACATTTTGCTTCAATTGAATAGGAGGGGTCCCTGTAATTTGGAGAAACCAGAATCTAGGTCTACAGAATCGTACCCAGAAATACAATTAATTTTTCTTTGTAAAAACTAGTTGTTATAATGAAAATGTTAATAGTATGAAGGTGAAATCAATAATTATCTGTGTACTTCAGACTGCTTGTTTACACTGTCTTGTTTCTGGACAATACTGTGTTTGATCTGGGAAACTAATTTTAGTTTATCTGTACAAAGTAAATCTAATTATCTTAGTGGGTTTCAAATCTGCAAATGATGTCATTGATTGTGTGTTTAAAATTTTATTCTTACCTTATTGTCAGCACATGTGGAATAGTCATGTTCGTATTGCTGAGATCCATCAGTAGTCAGAAATTAAGGCTGAAAGCAGAGGAAATGTGCTGCAGTCTTTGAAATTGGACAAAATCAGACATGCAACTTTTGTTCATTGTATTATGGAATGAATTGGCGATCTGTGCTATGCTGAAGGGATTTTTTTAAACCAACAAAGAGCTTTATAGTGATTTCCTGTTTTTGTTTGGTAGAACTTGTCCTTCCTGTTTGAAGAGATCTGGCCTGTATTCACTGTTTGTGTCCTTGAGGGTTTGAAGGATTGTCCTCTTCTGTATGCTGCCAAGTTGCCATGCTGTGTCACTGTGCTGGGTGTTGCTGTTATAGACCCAGGGCGTGATGCCTCGCGCTCACTGCGATGTCGGTGTTGTGTAGAAATGGCCTGGCCAGGCTGGGAGTGAGCGCCAGCAGGAATTGCACGGGGAACATCCCACCCACTGCGTGCGCTGCCGCAAGGGCCACAGCTGCCCCAGTGGGGATGGACTGTCTTGTTTATAGGAACATTCTAAATCTTATTCCAGGTTTTGACTCAGATGAAGAATTTGGGCCGTTCTGTCATCAGACGCCGTTTCTAGGTGATGGTCTGGGATTGATGACTTTTGCCTTCTGTAAACTTTTTTTCATACTTCCTATGTTTGCACGTTTGCATGATAATGCAAGCTTTGGGCCTGGCGGGGTGGTAGAGCAAGGGGAGAAAGGGCAAGGCAGGCATGTTGTCGCCAGAATTCATACAAGCCTACAGACATGGATTTTGTTTGGCAGAAATAAGCTAGATCAATCTCCACAGAATATGGATTTTGGTTGGTTTTTTGTTGTTGTTGTTTTTTTTTTAAAGAAGACAAATTAAATCCTAATGAATGCATCATTTACTCCTGTTCTGTGCAATGATGATCTGCATGGCATACTTCTATTATGTGGTGACTGATGTATTTTGGCAACCACACTGTATATCCATAGGTAATTGCATCTGTGCTTGTTAGATTATGTTCTAGTGAAATTGAATGCAGATAATAGAGTGCCTTAGTAATACCTATAATAAAAACTCAATTGATAAAAATAGTGTGAATTTATTGGTTTTCAAGTATGCAGATTACCATCAGCTTCTGCAAATGTTTGAGGCTGTAAAGCAGTGCAAAATGAACAGTGAAGATTTCTGAGGAATGTGAGGGCTTTAAGTCCATGGAAAAAAATGCAGACCTTTTTCCTGGATTATTGTCATTGGTTGTGGCCCTGAATTCTGTAATGGTTTTCTGCATATTTCATCAAGACCAATTTACTGTTCGTATCAGCATTAAGTGGTCCAGACAAAATGTCATACTGCTGATAGACATAAAAAATTGCTTTGGGGTTGCCTTTGGATGCAGGTGTGGGGAAGCCAACTAGTTGGTACATACATCTGCTGTTTATCTTCAACGCTGAGATGTAGAAGCCTACATCCATTTCACTAACTGAACCAGGGTAATGGCTGTAATATAGCCTTTCATTTTGTCCAGGTTTAGAGGTATCCTTATGTTACTTTTTTACAGATCAGAGAGTAGCGTCTTTTTGCACCTTGAATGATATGCAGCAAGCTCAGGGTTTGGAAGGACCACAAGGGTTACCTTTGGATGAGAGTCCCCCAGATGGAAAAGATTTTCTTGAGGATGCTGGGTATGTCAGAATTAAAGCATATTTCTTGCAAAAATATTTAAAATATTAATATTATATTTAAATATTAAAATATTTAAAAATATTTCTCTTAATGTTGCATGTCAAATTGCCTGTATGCATGTTTCATGGCTGTGTGGTGGCAGACTTGTTCCCTTGACTTATAATTCCTTTAGTTTTGAAAAAATGTTGTTTCTTCATATCATCTTCTCTCTCACTGCGATAGGTCTATAACACAGATCAAGGTTAGATGCAGAGTTTCAGATAGTCAAATTTCTCACTGTATTCCTCCTTTACAATAATAATTTTTGTTACATTTGTTTCTGTTTTCATTTTAATAAAGCTAATAATGGGAGCTCAGCTCTGTAGGATGCAATAACCTGATCAGCAGCAAATGTCTCAAACCTTGGAATAGGGTCTATCCTATCTTTGCAACTATTTGCAAACCCATAATTTTTTTTATTTTATACAGAGGTAAATTAAGAGAACCTGTAACAGAGGACTGCAGAATTTATGCCAAACTACCCAGTTCTTCAAATTCTTCTCAGTGCTCTCGGAGAAATGATTCCTCCCCCACCCCTCCACCTATCCTGCTCTAAGGAATATTGTTAATTTAAAGATTATTCTTATACAGTTTTAGCAGTATAATCTGTCCACCACCACACTTTAGAAGAAAAACACATCTTTGATTAGTTTTGCTCTTCAATTGTAGGAATGGGAGAATGGGAAATGGAAAGTCTTCTTGCTTGTTAGACTGTTGCATTTTAATTTGAACCAATTTTACACAAATTAGCTAGCTTACATAGTAAAGCGCATTTATTGTAATGACTTTTAAGTTCATATCTTTCCCCAGGCTAATGATCAATAAGGATTGCAAAAGACTGTTAAAGATGTTCCCCTTTTAGCCATGGCAAACCTTTTAGCCATGCCAGATTTGTGCAATTGCATGAAGCAGCTGATTCAGCTTTGTATGTAAAGCCTCTCTTCACCTGCTCTCTTTTGGACACAATTACTGACATGATGGCTAATTGCATCTATAATGTACATGGAATCGTCTCCCACAGTGCTCATTGTCATTCAGAAAACAGAAGCTATTCTCAGTATTTTCCTTCAGTCATGCATTTGATTAACCTGTGGCAATATTTTATGTGTTTTGACCTTTAAACAAAATATTTGTCTCCATTAAGCCATACGTTTATCCTTTACTGAAAATGACACTGCTGCACAGCAGACAAAAGAAGTCTTTACGGCTCTTTTGGTTTGCAGTAATTGCAGCTGCATCTTGCATGAGATTAGTGCAGTCCTTATCAGAAAGCAGCTTGTTAAGCAATGTGCCTGCACACCGTGGAGCAGTGAGTGTGACTTGCTCTGTGAGGGTATGTGCAAGTCATTCCTAAAACATTCCTTCTTAAAATCATTATTACTCCTGCCTGATTTGCATGACAAGTAGTGTCGTATTTCAGATATTGCAGGACAAGATTTATGTTCTAGTGATAGTCTTTTACTGATGGTGGTTTTGTCTCTGTTTTCCTAACTGTGCCTAAACTGATTGGTTTCCTTTGCTATTACTAAAAGTGTAACTCTGCTAAAGCTGGGAAGAAAATATTTTTCACTAACTCAGAGTGAAGGGAGTGGTTTACTTTGCAGGGAACATGCTCCGAGTACTCTGACTGGAAAAGTAAACCAACTGGAAGTCATCCTGCGGCAGCTACAAACTGACCTGAGAAAGGTAAGAGACCATTAGCCCCGTATCTGCTGCCCAGTTCTAGTGGTTTTATTTGTACACAGAATCATCAAAGGCTTGAAAGAAGAACATCAGTTAAACGAGACAGCAGAGCTCAGTGGTTGCTCAGAGCACTGAGGTGCAGAGGGTTCTGTGGAAATGGGTCTGTGAGGAAATTGGCCCAAGGCTAAGTACTTTACAGGTCTTTACTCCAGAACAGCTGTCATAAAAATAGTCACACCCAGAATCAAGGAAACACTTAATCTTCATTTATGGGACTTTGGATTTAACAAAGGATAGGGATTTTGACAGGGCACCATTGCTAAGTAGTTGGCACTCCGGTTTTGTCATCCCTGTTTCCTTGTGCTACCTTGGTCATGTAGCAAGGACTTGATTAGTGCCTCATTTGCTGTCAAAATTCTGAGCTGGAGATAATGCCAGGAGAATTGAAATGAGGCTGCTTTTGGTAAAGAAAAAATCATGTCAGGAGAAATTTTGAAATTAGATATTTTTATTCTTTAAATATATGCTTGAAAACAATTACTTACAACTTGGGCTCTCACATAATTTATTATATTTATCACTTATTATAGCTAAAAGCTTCTTATGCTTTCAATGCTTGATATTTCTTTGTTTTTTGGTTTGTTAAATCGCGTAAAACTTTAATTTTTATATTAAAGTAACATCTAGGGCTTTTTTTAGCTTGCAGTATTTTCTTGGAATGAATGAGGTAGTTGGAGCGTATTTGGGGAATTAACTTACAGTTAATAGTTGTCAGAATGAATTTGGGAGCTCAACAAAATATAGCTGTTATGACATGCATAGAAATATTAACAACAAAAGTAAATGTTGTCATCACAACTGCTCACTTTGCTCAACTTGTATCTTTGTTAACCAGGAAAAACAGGACAAGGCAGTTCTCCAAGCAGAGGTACAGCACCTGAGACAAGATAACATGAGGCTTCAGGAAGAATCTCAAACAGCAGCCGCTCAACTGAGGAAATTCACAGAATGGTTTTTTAATACGATAGACAAAAAATCTTAATGGCTGGGGCCCTGCAAAGTACTGATTTGAACGATGTATCTTTTGAATTAGCAGGGTAATAATTTCACTGTGTTCACAATCCATTTTAGGTGTTTCTGCTGCATTTTCTGTCCAGCTTTATTCATCTGAAAAGGAGAGAGAACTGTGGCAACCCGTCTTTAAATTCATATGAAGAAAGCAGAGAATAGCAGATAATTGTTTGTGTGCAGATGAATGTAAAAAATCCTTAGTGTCATTTTAGACATTTTTAGAACTTGCTCTGGCTGGGGCTTGCCTGAAGAGGAATATTTGGGGTTTTAGTTCCTGCATTTCAGGTGCGCTGGTGAAGATGTTAAAGCAATTTAAATTAGCTTGGGCTTCAGTATTGTAAGATAAAAAGAATAACCAGACATATACTTTAATGTTTAAAAGGTGCTCTATTTTTTTGTATGTACAGTAGTTTTATTTCCACAGTCCACATTGTCATAGCAATAAGAATGGAGGTATAGTGAATAGTCACAGAGCTGTGTTTATAAAATGTTAGCACTGACGTGTTTAACACTAGTTTGGATGCAGATACATTAGAGATTATTTATTTGCAGGAACAAATGGTGCCTGAATATAAACAGTGTTCTGATTTTCTAAAAATACACATGCCTTGTAAATGGCTCACTGGGGTTAGCCCACTCCCAACTTCAGTTACTTTTGTATAGTTGATGTTCAGCTAAACAGTTACACTGCTTAACTATTAAAATCATGTATGGTGTGAGCCAGCCAATCAGTTGTACAATGCCAAATTTGTCTATCTTTGTACAGAAGCTTTGATCAAGTGTCTTGTATTTAACACCTTTATTTAAGCTTATTTAACCTTAAATTGTTGTTTTTATAAAGTTTGTTTTATCTGCACTATGGTGAGGTCAGTTGGTTGCAAGTTGTAATATTTTGAGCTTGCCAAGACTGTACTGAGGAGTTCTAGAAAATTCTAACAATTGGATGCTGCTAGTACACAATTGATTTGTTTGTATGCTTTAACATTTTTAACTGTTTAATTTGAAATGAACATACATCCTGCTTTTTTAATAAATGTTAAAAATCTAAACCTGAAATATTTTATCTTGTATTATCTGTAATCATTGTTCACAGTAATGACTCAGGTTTCTGTTCAGCTCAGTCCCTGGGCTCTCCATCCATCCAGAGACATTTCAACCCCTCAGAGCTGTCAGGATCCCTTGTTACTGAGGAGGGTTTGCCACCATTATCACATTAATTTCTTTGGTACGTCCTGTCCTGGAACCCAGGAGGTGTTTTCCCCAGTCTGAACAAAAGCTGCTTGGGCTGGTCGTAGGCATTGATCAGTGGCCTATGATCCTGGAGAAAATGTTCAAAAGAGGTTTAGTTACTTCATACTAGCTTATGCATTAGTTGTAGCAGGAAATAACTTGCCATCTTCTTGTGCCAGCGATTGAGGATTTGACTGCAGTGTCAGCATATGTGAGATGCTTTGTGTACAGTACAGAGCTTAAAGTCTACACCTAAAATGGACACCTTTGCAAAATTAAATGAAGCTAATGAGCACATTTGAGTTACCCTGAGGGGGGTAAAAAAAAAAAGTTCAAGATCATAGTTTTATCTCCTTCAGCTTCCTATTGGCTGCTGAATGCATTAAGGCAAACATATGGAAAATTGTTGAATAATTAAAAAATAAAATATATTCAACTCATGCAACTAGAATTCCATGTCCATTGTTTGTGCACTTTGGCTGAGAAATGTTTTATAAACGGAACAAATGTCTGTCACTGCTTTCACAATTGTTCTGAGAGACTCCTCTTAGGAAAGGTTGTATGTGGGCAAATAATCAAGCCTTTGGTATCCGTACATTGCAATTTACAAGACCATTTTGTATTGTATTTTTCATTAAAAACTCTGACTTTTACACACCAAACAATATCCACTAAGCTGTATTAACAGGGTAATTAAACATGGCAGTCATGTGTTACAGTAGCTTCTGATTTAAGCACCTTAGAGAAGTCATTAGCAAACCCATCTGGCTGGAGACCTTGCCAAATAACAGTGCTGAACAACTTGGGCAATTTGTCTGTGAACACATGTCTGTGAGGATTGGTCTGTTCCCTTTGGAAAGCTGTGCTAACCAAAATGAACTTGAGGGTAAGCTGGCTCTGAAGGGACACGGTTAGGTTTGTATAGGAGTTTATAGTCCAATATTCATTTTAGTTCTTTATCTCAGTTATTGAAAACCAGCAGTTATAACTGTGTGCACAAAAAGGACTTTCAGCAGTTTTTTCCATTTTTCCCATCCAACTGAAAATGTTTGATTTCCAAAACCAACAGAAATCTTTGTCTATAGATCTCCTGTTTCTTTTGCTGACAAAAGCAGTCGTGTTGGGAGCACGTGGTTCTTCCTTAATGAACCTTCACCACAGGGAAAAGTTTTTAGTCTGGCTGTTAGTGTTTTAATGACATGGGAATACAATATTTGTCAGAGACCTGTTTTGGCACAGGTAAAGGACGTTTAATTGGGCATTTGAATCAACTGAGTATTTTAAGAATAATCCTCTTGGAAGTGTTGTGCTCACAAAAAATGCCTGGTTTAGACACATGAAGGCAAAGACTACATGTACATGAGCAACAAGTGTGGAGTACTTGGAAAATTCAGGGTGTTGCAAACCCAGGTTTTGGAGATCTTTTAGGCTCTTCCTTGTTCAGTTCCATGACTGGATGCCTTTTAGTGGCTGAAATCATGTTAAGTTGGCTCTGTCTGAAGGCTCTGTGCTCTTAAGACCATTCCATATGATCTGAAGCTGAGTAAGTAGAGGTGATTGGGAAATTGACTTCAAAGATGTGTTTGTGATCTGAATTAAAACAGTAATATGGAAGTGTTTAAAATGTCAACAAAGTCCTCCCAGCACAGCAAGCCATGCTATGCAGTTCTGAGGTGCCGAAGTCAAATACGAGCCAGTGCAGATGTTTACTTCTGCAAGAGGGAAAAACACCAACCCTGGAAAAATTACAGAATGTTCTGCTTCTGCCCTAGAAGTGACATATCTTTATTGGTGGGATCCTTACTGATACATTTATCACAATGTGGACTGTATTTTATTATGTACAGTTTTTTTCTTAGGCCACTGTTATAAACACAAGGGATAATTTCAAGTTTGTGGTTTGTTTTTTTTGTTCCTGAGAGGATATTCTATTTGGTTTAGGCATGTGATAGCTTTATACAGAAGCTGTTTAAGTCCTCTGTGTGTTATTCGATACAAATTCTCAAAATAGTTCATCTTTTTCTGTGTCTAGAATCCAGTAATGTGGGGAAATGTTTAGAATATTTGTAATGCAAACTAGATAATTGTAGAGCAGTTGTTCAGGAAAGCAATTTTCAGTATGGAAAAAAGCAGACTCGCTATGTGCATTATGTCATTGCAGCACTTCTTGAGCTCAGTGCTGACTGGTTCTAATATAGAAAGTCAGAAATTTGTGTTGTACAATTTGAAGCCATCAGAGCCATTAACTATTGTCAAAGCAAGTTATTCTTCATCCCCTCTTATTTCTTCCACAGCAAAGACTACGATGTCTTTCAACTCAAAAGCAAATACAAATCTTGATCTCAGCTCTCCTCTCTGTGAACACAGCTAATTTTCCTTTGATTCCTTGAATTTCCTTAATTTCTGTCTTTCAGCATGTTGCCTTTAACTCTGTCATGGAGAATCCAGTGGCAGAAGGAGAAGTTCTGAAATAGGTGCCTGGTCTGGCCAGCCATAGAGTGGCAGGGCCGAAGCCTTTTGCTGTGTTAGCTCCACAGTGGCTACAGAGCAGAAAGCAGGGCTGGTGCAATTTTTGACTGATGGGTAAAACAACCAGTCCACATATTTCCATAATAACTGTATCTAGCAGATTTTCCAAACCTTCGTTAGGGAAACAATTAAAAATAAAAGGTGGGGTGGGGGGGGGAAATCTCTGGCTGTTGCACTGTCTTAAAAGGTCATAGCAGGACCAGGGAATGGAATGAAGAGACCAAATTGTTCATAGCCTGCTAGTTTAGAAATCACTGGAAGGCTTCAAATCTATTAATGTTGCAACCCCATTTATTTTATTGATTTCTCAAGGGAAATTGTGTTATGTCCTTAGTTTCATATTTTATTGTCCTCCTCTAACCATGGCTATTTAAAGGCTTCTTTGTTATACAACATCACAGAATTACTCCAGTAGTGGTCATGGTTAAGGAAACATCCCAGTGTGCCCATTCATGAGATTCCCTGGCAGTCACACTCCCAGGCCAGAAACTTTCACTGCTGGGACTGAAGCCCCTTCAAAAGGGTGGCTCCAGGAAGCTGACAGGTGCCCTGCTTGGCTCCCACATATCCCCCCTCACAGAGTCAGACCAGGTTTCCCATGGCAGTCTCAGATGTCTCATTCCATGAAGCCATTTATTCACAGTGGAGTAACAGACACAGCTTGAGCTGCTGCCAAAAACCAGCAGATGAGCATTTTCTGACCAAAGTCATTATGAAATCTTGAAAAATTTAAATTTACTGAATATGCTGTTGATACCAGTTCAGGTGCCCATGTGTCTAGGCATCAGCTGGAGGTGTTTAAAATAGTTCTGAGGAGTGATTATGGGAAAGTAAGGAGACAAAACCATGCCATGTCAAAAAGTGGGATATGTGAAGTGCAGCAGTAGTAACCATGGGTAATATATTGACTGATGACTCTATGTCCAAAGACTAGAGCTTTAAAATAATAGGGAGTTTTCACAACCTGTTTTATGCTTTGTAAATCCACTGTTTGGAACCCAGAAAACAATTGTGAGCTTACATTGAGAAAACCCATGTGTTAGCCCTGACCAGAAACCTTGGAGAAGGTCTGCAAAACTCAGATAGTTATGACTGAATTTAAGCTATGGGGCTTGGTCATACTGAACACAATTTTAAAGTGTTAGAAACTCATTCCTTTTTGTCTTAGGTTCCTATTTTGAAACGTATGAAAATGTATGATTATTTGAGTGACAAGAGCTGTTAATAATAGAATAAATAAACGACCCCAGGGCTGTCCAGTAGCAAATAGTAGTCTGGTCATCTGAGATTCTTGTTACCACTAAATTGTAACTTGCTTTCAGCTCAGGCATAACTTTGATAGATAATATTTTCTGAAGGCTTTTTTTGGATGGAAACCTGAGGTTTCTGCATTCTTGTCAGTACTGTGCTTCTGCCTCTGCATAGACATTATACTCAAGATGATGGATATTCCTTGCCCAAATCCAAGACACAGTGTTTCTTTCCAATGAGCAATGTTTCTCCTGTGTGTAAGACCAGAGCTCCAGGAAGTATATTCTAGCACTAGTGCAACTTCAAGCTGTTTTGACTGCCTGTCTTCTGGCCCACAGCTTCTGGATTCTTGGTGTTCCTTTTGTTTGCTAAGAACTGAGTTTCTCAGCAGGGGGTTCAGTAAAAACCAGCACAAAACAAAAAGCTCCTTCAGACTTGCAATGTCTTCATTTTTTAGGAAACACGTGGGGTTCTGTAAAGGTACAAACATCCTTTGATGTTCCTTTCTGTGTCTTTTCCTGTGAGACAGCTTAGCAAGGAACTTCAGGGTGGCTCAATACTTGAGCAATTCAAAGCCTGTTTGAAATGCTGAAATACTTTTGTATGAGTAGGGGATGTTCAGCATAAGCTCTAATTAATGTGCAGATATGTTCAGCGTGCTTTCAGCCTGTATGCAGACCAGAGGCAACCTTGTTTCCAAAGGGGGAAATGCCATTCCATCAGTTGCAGTCTACACAGCTCGGACAGTGATCTGCCACTCAAAGGAGAAAGCAAACAATGGGCTCATTCCTGTGTATTTTTATGCCACATAGCCAACAGAAGCTGTATATCATGTAGCCAGAAAAAGTCCAAATGGCACCATTAAATCGAGCTGTGCTCTGTAAACTGGGTTGCTGATTTCCTTTAAAATTATCAGAAAATTTATTCAACTCCTCTGGTGTAAATCAGACTTAATATAATAGGAATTACTGAAGAGAGTAAAATCGGGAAAAGAATCAGTCTCTTTGTGTGAATGGCAAATTACGTCCAGACCATATTTTAAAATG